CACAGTACTTCTTGCTAAGGCAAAAGCAGAAAAAGATAGAACTGGGTGATGACTGAAAATAGCTAGCCCAGTGGAGAGTGATAAAAGCATCTGCTGAAAATCTGGTAACCAGATCTCCTGGGTACCAGGAAAAAAAAAACCACACAAAAAAGCTGGTGGGTGGTGTACACGGTACAAAGAAAGGGAGTCCCTGAGTGTCAGCATCTGGCAAGGCCACGTGTAGCATAATCTGATTAGTTTTCAGTTCCACACCCACAAGCTGAAAGATAAAAACGCACACCCCTCCTCCCTGAGGAGGTAAAAATCTTCAAGCATCAACACCACATTTACATTCTGCAAGTCAGCCTCTTCCACAGACCGATTTACATCTTGCCTCCTCCAGCAGAGTGGTGGAAGTTCAGTGATGAGAGACAAGCTCACGTCCCATTCCAGTTACCACATCCAGCAGACTCGAGATTGCCTTGCTTTGATCTGGAAGACAGTCCTGTGCTTAGTTTAAACTGAAATGATTAAGCTGGAGATGAAGACTCCTCACATCTTCTGCCATGCCTGGGATGTGATAATTGAACATCAGCTTCCCTGGGCCACACGAACATGTTCTGAGGCTGTGCTGGGCTGGCGAGCAGAAACAGCTGCACAGGCACTGACTGGCTGGCTGCAGTTTTCACTGACCTTATAGCACTCTCAGTACTGATTTGATTCATGTAAAATGGCCAAAATTGGCACTGGAGAGGATTAATGACAATGTTTCTGTCTCCAGAAATTTATACTCAGGTTGGTGTTTGACTTGAAAGAGCTGAGTAGTGGTGAAAGATCAGAATATTTCTTGTTATTTTGGAGCAAACACTGGATTTCTGATATCCAGCGTGTTTTGTGCTGTGCCAGCAGACAAATCAGAACAGCTTGTTTAGCTCTTGACTATGAACTCTCAGTTTTTCTCATCTCTTTCCCATCTCCTCACTGGTGACCTGATCTTTTCCAGTGACTTCTGGGTCCCATCCTTAGTCAGAGACTCGTGGGCCAGCTTCCATTTATTTTTGACAACATTTCACATTCAAGTTTGCTTAAGTCCACAAGCATTTTTTCTTCCCTCCAAGCCAAATCCATTCTACAAATCCATCCTTACAACAGAGCAACAGGCACTAAATGAAGTGTTGCAGGCATTGGGATAGCTATAACACTATTTTATTCTACTCTTCACACAGTTTCTATATTGCTTTTTGATGTACTCACTGCTGCAGCAGATCATGGATTCTCCCTCAGCTATCCACACTTGCTACCCTAATCTTTTTTCCTGAAATAAAAATTACACCTCAGTCCTGAGACTGAGGAATACAGCTTTTCTTAGCACACTCCCCTGGGATCAGGAATTTCTCTGTCAACGGACACATATATCAATGAGAGATGAAAAGCAGCTTGTGGAATGAGTTTTAAACATGTATCACATATTTCATTCCTGCTGCTTATGTGCTACTCAGAAGGTCTTTTTAGAGTGTTTTCAGCCCATGCCTCATGGCTCCTCCATACTTAACAGGATTTTTTTTTTCCTGCACAGAAATCAAGGCAGGACATTTATTTAAATTGCCCACAAGCCTTTGTGAGCACCTCCTGAATACAAAGGTTTTGTTGAGTTTCCTGCTTACTTTCAGTGTGAGCACGTCTCAGCCTTTATCAAAGCAGAGAAACCCATAATGTGCAAAGCTGCAATGTCATCTTGTCTCCCTGGGATATTTCACTCGGGGACTGTGGCTCCTTCTGTGGATCCCTTTGTCACAACATGACTCCGTGTTACAACCCTAAATTTTAAATGTCCAGAAGGGGAAGGCAAGTCTGCCTTTGGCCCCTTGCTGGTTTCTGGGGACTTGCAGTTCCATTGATGCCTGGGGTCTTCCAGATGTGCATAGAGCTCTCTCTTCCCTACTTTTTTTTTTTTTTTTTTTTTTTTTTGTGTGTGGGTGGGGGGGGAAGCAGCAACACCCAAACCCACACATCTATAGATCATTTCAATTCAACCAGATGTGGAAATCTTTTTTCTTCTTCCTGTATGCCCCTTCTTTTTTTTCCTCTCTTTTTTTTTCTTTTCCCCCCACCCCGCCTATCCTAAAGTGCTCCGTTAGCCAGAGCTCTGCTATAACACACATAATTAAGTATAAACTCTCTTCTAACAAAGCTATGTATGATCAAACAGAATGTGGTGAAAACAAGGCTCAGGGTTATCTGGCACAGGTTAGTCCAGGAGTGATGGTGACCTGTGTAATAAATTATTTATTGAGTTACCTGAGGACAATTGAAATAGATTATGCACCAGTTTGTTAGTGGTTCTTTAGTTAAAAGGTCACTACATGAACATAGCACAGGGTTTTTTCTACAGAAATTCTAAATAAAATTCACTTTGGGGGTAAATTCGTTCCCAGCTAAAATAGACTCTCATGTGTGAGACTGGAGATGGGCTTATAACATTTGCCTTATTTTGAGACCTCTTGAATTTCACAAAATCCCAGAATGATTTCGGTTGAAAGGGGACTTAAAGATCATCTCACTCTAAACCCCTGCCATGGGCAGGGACACCTTCCACAATCCCAGGTTCCTCAATTTGCCAAAGGATTATCAGGAATGAGCAGAAGAGAAAAACAGAGGAGGAGATGTCTATAGAAAACAGAGTGGAAAATATGAACTTGCAAAAGGAAAAGCAAATGCATAAAAATTGTTGAGGAAAAGAAGTGGGAGAAATCCCGAGAGAACACTGACTGCATATGTATGTAAAAGTAATTTCTTCAGATTTGGCAGCACCCAACTTGTACAAATCTTAGTTTAAATGGATTGAGAATATAATGCTGAAGAGTAGAGTTTGGATGTGACCCTGCTAATTAAGCTGCTATTATGGAGTTTTTACAAGCTCAAAATGATTCCCTATTTAAAATGGTTGATATTTTCTCAAGAGAAGAGTAGGCAGCCATGGCAGCTCCAACATGGAGCAGCACTTTCTCCCTAAGGAGAAGGCTCCCGCCTACCCCGTGCTTTCAGACTGAGTCATTACAGGGGAGAAAACCCAGACTTCAAAGTACCAAATTATGGGTCAGCTAATTAATTTTTTTAAATTGCTAGAGAAGCTTCTCCAAAGTTAAATCCCATCAAGTTTCCCCTCATCTCCTAACCTGAATCTTTGTCTGTCTAGAGCTGTGATTTCTCTGAATCCAGTCTGGGTTTATTTAGTTTGGATATCGAATTGCCTATGTGTCATGTTGGCACCATGGATACCAATTTAATGGTGGGAACCTGTGTACTCAGTACTGTGGTGAGAATTACTATTAAAAAGCATTTTTTTTTAGCAGTGGCAGCCTGATAGTTCAATCTCAAGATTCAGTGGCTTCATTTCTGCTTCTAAAATAAATTAAACAGCAATTTATTTAAAAAACCAATTGGAATTGGTTCTATGGCCCAAAGACTGACATGGGACAATCTTCCCATGTCTGCAGAGCTGAACTCTTGTAGACTCCAGACAGATGGCTGTATTCATACTGCTGAGGAACAACAGGGATTATCTCAAGCCACTGGTGATTATTTGGAAGGATTCAAGCCCAAACCATACCAGAGGCCCTTCCTATTGTTAAAAGCATTAAAATATCCCCCCCCAATTATTGCTTGTGCCAGGGCCCCGGCACTGCTTATAGGGATGGAGGCAGATGTGGTTCTGGGTTGAAATCAAGGAGTCTGGGCCCCTCTTTCAGCTCTGCCAGAGGCTTTTTGCATGACCTTGATCTGTAACTTAGGGTAGGCTTCATTGCATTTAACGTTGACTAATGGCGGGGGTGTCTAATTAAACCAGTCATGTGTGCTCCCTCTCTGATCAGAGAAGGAAGAGAAAGCAAATTCAGGAGGTGAATCATGCTGTTTTAAGGCAAGTGTCAGAGACAAATGAGATGAATTGCCCTCTGGAAGTAGCTATTTCTTTCCATTAACCGAAGAGGAAGTCTACATTAGAAGAGTTTAGACTAGATGCCTGATTTATGAATGGCTAAAGCTAAGTAAAATTAGTCCTGTCCTTAATCTCTATGCATGCCTTTTTCTCCTTGTGCTGAATGATAGAAATAACACCTTCTGCACCTCACATTCAAAGGCACCATTGGACAAGGAGCATCCTTTGGAAAGAAATTAAACCTAGGAGCAAAAATACAACCATTAGAGAAGCAAAGCCCTTGCTCTTGAAACATCACAATGGCAACATAAGCAGGACCATTAGGGGCATCCCAGTGCTTTTGCCATTTTCCCCCCTTCATATTTTGTCAGCAAAACACCCCTAAATGAGTGTTCCAAATATATCCAGGGGCAGCTGGCCTGTTTTGGGTGACTGCAGTAGGAGCACTGAGGAAGGCTGACCATGCAAGGGAGTGTAGGGCCCAGTCCTGGCCAGCAGTTTTGGAGGTTTTCCTTGGATACTGCTCTTCTCAACTGACAGGGACTAATTACTTTCTGGAAAATCTCCCAGAGGAATGAAAGCTAATGACAAACTAGAACAGAGTTAAAGAAAAAAAAATACGGGGAGAAGAAAAGCTTGCATTTTCTTAGCAAAAATCCACAACATCTAAACCAGGCATGGAGTAATTGTCCCAGTTGATAAGTTGTAGGTACATATGAGGCTTGCTTTTGGAAGGGAAAGCTTGCCTGTTTAACTACCTTGGGTAGTTAAAGGAGAAAAAATTAAAAAAAAAAAAAGACAAAAAAGACCTTGTGTGGGTGTCCTGATAAGTGCTTACTTTGAATTGTAATATGGTACACGTGTATGGGCACAGCTGTGCTTGATAAGACTTTCACCAGCACAACCATGTCCAAAACACAACCCCCTCACAACGTTTCTGTGTTATTGGGGGTAGCTGAGATACCTGTAAATCCATTAAATCTAGTAACAGGTCCTTAGAGACCATTTTGGGGTTATTTTGGGGGTGTGTTAAATTACTAAATCTTGTTATTAACGCTTTTATTTTATGATTTGCTGTTTCCAGGGCACAGACAGAAGCTTGATGACTCTAAACCTAGTTTGTTCTCTGAGCGCCTCAGTGATTTAGGGCGCATTCCTCATCCCAGTATGAGAGTAGGGGTCCCGACCCAGAGCCCACGGCCCTCTCTGAACTCTGCACCAAGTCCTTTTAATCCACAAGGACAGAGTCAGATTACAGGTAAGAGACAGAACCATAGGTTTGACTTGCACAGGCATTGGTAGTAATTGCTTATGGATATTTGTGTCTCAGCTGCAGTCAAAGAGGCTGTTACAGAGTGGGGGATGTTCTCCAAGCAAAGCTAGGTGGGAAGTGGATTTTTCTATAGTGCTTGAAGCTGAAAATGTTATTTTTTTTCTTTTTAATATATTTTTGCCATAAATCTAAAATAGTCAGTCCAGGTCATTTGAGTAGGGATATGGTGAAATTCTAACTGCCACGTTGCTCTGTCTTCTCTGTGTTGCAATAGTACCTTCAGTGTACAATAGAATGAACATTTTTATTCAGCCTTGTTATTTTGCAGTCTTGTTGAGGGAAGCAGCCAGCACTTGATGGTCTTTTTATCAGAATAATAATACAATCTTCTCACATGGTGGTTTCCTTCCACCACCAGTGCTGACCACGGTTACAATAAATGAACTGGGTTATGGAGAAATATCCAAAGGTTGCTCGTGAGGGTTGTATGCAACATTTATGATTGCATGCTGAGAGACAGATTTCATTGTGCTGAGAGAAATCATCAAGCACCCACCATGTGTCACAGATTAGAAGGCTGAAATAAGATGTTTAACTGCAGCTATGCCAGAAGTTTGCAGCAAAACTGTGAAACCTACCAAATAAACCAACATTGTTTTTTCTAAAGTCAGAGCTGGTTAAATTTTTCAAAAGAGATTCAAAACAACTTCTATCTAACTTTGGACATTTCTAGATTCTAAATTTGTGCTGACATGTTTGTGTATATCCAGGATGTAAAGAGGTGTTACCCCTGACCAATTGCTAGAATTGTTGGAGAACTTCACCTAGATGCCAGTCTGTCAACAAAGCTCTTGGCTCAATTCCCTAGACAGATTTAATACTCGCTTCTGCTGTGACAGTTGTATCCACAGCAGAGTCCTTTGCCAGCATTTTACACCAGCATTCCTTTCCTGGTAAAGCACTCCTAGTATAGACATAGTCTTTGAGTCAACCTAGGAAGATTTCTAGTTTCATGTTTCAAGTGGTTTTGACATGATACCAGCTGAAACTCAGTGGTTTTAACAAAGTGTTGTGGCTTTCTTCTTCTCTCTTTTCCTTCTTTTTTTAAGTTCAAGCAGTTTATTAATTTGCAGTAAGAAAGAGAAGTGAGTTAATTTGAACCCAAAGCACTCAAGGAATTGCAACAAAAAAATCATTCCCATGAGCTGTGGCAAAGTTCTCCCAGATCTAGAAGTCTAACTTTAACTAGTGTAAAATGTTTATAATATATTAAATATGTTGATTATGCCCATTACATGGTACCTGCTGCCCCCCAGCTTCCCAGAGCAGGTTTTTTTGGCTAGGCTTCATGATTTGTTCATTGGACATGTGAAGTCAGGGCTCTTGTGCATATCATTTTCTGGGTAAGAACTGCTGAATTAAAACACAGTATTTTTTTCTAACCAAGTCTTCTGTCCAGCAATGTTTGTAGATGTAGTTCCCAAGAAAGCAGGGGGGAAATCCAGGCTATAAGCAGTTTTTTTTCCTTCTTCCTTGTGCCTCCATAGTTTACCTATTGTGCAACATTATATCAAGGAACGAAAGAGGCTGAAATTCTTCCTGACCCCATCTGGTGATCAGCTTATGCCCTGAAGCACAAGAACTGAGATCCCCTTGTAATTTTCTTCCTAACTAAGTGTAACCTCATATGCTGCTCCCCTTCACATAAATGCCTCCTGTAGAAAATGTTTTGCTGGCTTTAATTAATAGACTACTTCTCTGCCTCGTTATGAGGCAGCAGCAGCATTTACAGATCTGGGAGATGAAAGCTTCAGATGAGCTTTCAATAAGCCTGACTGGAAACAAAGTTGTGTGGCATTCCCTGCCTTCTCTGCAAATTTAAGGCAGCACCAGCTGAGACTTCATCAAGAGAGGGAAGATGCAGTGCTGGTAAAGCAGAGAGAAGTGAGCTGAGGGATGCAGGCTGGATTTCCCATCTCTGGTGGATTATGTGCTTTTATTGTTGGATAAATTCAAGGTTATGGGATACATTAGAACCCCAAGTTGCTCTGATTTCCCCCATAATGGTGAGAACTCCCTAATGAATAAGTGGTCTGGTACAGTATTTCTGATGTTGTTTCCCACCCTCAGAAAAATCCAACGGCCAGCTCTCCATTTGCTTGCTGGTGGTCATCCCATTCCGTTGGGTGATTGGTGTGAGCATGTTACATGGGTGCAAGCTCTGGGAATTGCACTGGCTCTCCACCAGGCTTTTGGGTGCTCTTCGGGACCTTGATTGTAATCTGTAAAGCTCAGTGTGCTCTGATGTTCCACCAAAGTGCTGGGATGCTTTTTTGCAGACAGTTCCTATTCTAGGATCTTTTCTGTGGGATGGGTGGGTACTCTTTGCTGCACAAACCATGCCAAGGAGAGATGAAGGTGATGCCATGGACGAGGCACCCTTTGGTCGGGTGCTGAGTGGGAAATTGGTGAACATGCCCCCTGCTTGTTGTGGTGGTAGGGAGTGAGGTGCTTGTGCTGTCCTTCAACACCAGTTTCCCTGTTCTGGTGGAATACTCAGAATGCCACTGGCTTCTTAACATAAGCACTGCCTTGGGTATATGTTAAAAGGAGAATAGACCCTTCTGTCTGAAAACCAGGATTTTTAAATTACCTTCCTTGGAATTAACCAAGCATTCCTTTAGAAATACCATGCTTTCATTATCTCTTTGCCTAGTTATCATTTAGGGAAAATAATAAATTTCTAATAACTGGAACAGTAAATACTGATTTCCTACCAAAAAAAAATCCATATTATTGCTAGTAAGCACATTTTGCTTCATTCCACTTGAGGCCTTGCATAGCTATTGCATGAGTAAACAGACATATTATTTAAAGCCTGGCTGACCCACACCTGAGTCTGAAAGAACTCAGCACTTTAGGGTTCACTCTTATATTTCTTTTCTCTGTCTAGGTTGTGTTTATTTTCCTGGAGTATCAGAGTACAGGTTGTACAAATCACAGCACAGTCCTTAACCTACCACAGGACTGGGCTGTGGCAGGACAAGGCACAGAGTTGCCCTTATTCAACATGGCATTTTAACTAGGATTCAGCAAAAGCTACATCGAAGGGTGATTAAAAAACAAATGGTCCAATAAGCAGCTGCCTTTGCTGAGGCAGTGCAGATCCAATTTGAACCCTGCTTGCTGCCCGTAAATCAGGAATCCTGTCCATTCACATTTGTTCACTGGTATATTTGCTTTTTTTATTTTTTTTCCCCTTTCCCTAACAGGCTCGTGCAACTTGTTCATGTATCCGATTACATTCCCGTTCAGACACTGAGCTGTTGCATCAGTGTTCCAGTATGAGACAAGGAAAGCCTGGGGTTTTTTTAAGATGCAACTGGTGAGGATTAGCTTCTGTAGGCCAGGAAAAGCCACAGGTGTAATGTCAGGAATGTGGGTGGTGTGAGGAGCCCATGGGCTGGGCTGTGGGGACAGCAAAGTGGGAGTTAAGTGAGGTTTCATGCTCCATCACCACTGTGGCACTGGCTGATCTATAGGCAACCTCTGACTTTCATCACTGAAATAACAGCCCTCAAAGGCAAGTCCTGTGAAACCTTCACTTTCTCCCCTTTTCCTCTTCCCCTTCTCCATGCAGGTCAGGGATGTTATGCTTCCATTTCTCATCATTTTAAAGCAGATTTAAAGTCTTCAGAGCCAGCTTAGCAGGAAGGTAGTGAGAGGATACATCTTCACTGAAGACAGGGACTGATTTCAGGGACAGTGCAAATGGAATCTGCAGCCTGCAGATTTTATGCAAATTGATTTCATCCTCTGGTTGACTGACAAGTTGCCACAGTGGACCTCCATTTCATAAAGCTTGCTCCCCTCCTATTATTCTTTTGACTTTTATTTCCCTCTACCCCCTTTTAAAACTTAGATGCCCACTGGCATGATTCATTGAGTTTATCTTTTTTTTTTTTTTTTAATTTCAAAAATGTGACTCTTGGAGGGGTGGGAGGAGAAATGGATTTAGAGGTTCTTCAGGCCAAAATCTGGTCTCAATTACTTTTCTGTACATTGGGGTGTAACTCCACTGGATTTGACTTTGTTGATTGAACTGGGCAATCCAGATGAAGCCCTGGCCTTTTAAAGATGCCTAAAAAAGAGTTAGAGAAGGGAAGAAGGTTGTGTTTTGCTGTTGTTGTTTTGCTGAGGGGATTAGTGTTACAACAATAGTTGGGTTACTCATGCAGAAAGTCATCTTGGCTTTGTTAAGATCAGAAGTGAGGATATTTGCTCTAAGTGTTTACCAAAGATAGCTCCAGACAGCTTGTTTTTTACTATTGGCAGTAGCACTAATCCAACCAGCAGCAGCCAGAGCTAGAGCTGATGGCTGGGTTTAAATGAGAGTATGATGCATGTGATGTCTGGGTATTAGAGACAATACACCAAGGAGCTGCCAATCTTTGATCATGCTCTGGTCATGTAACTCATCTTGGAAAAGGGGGAATTGGTTTTTTTTTCCTATAGAAAATTAGTATGCTTCACAATCCAATGCCAAAGTGAAAAAAGTTGTTCTTCAGGGATATTTGCAGGTTTTTGCTTCTCTCCAATGACACTTCAGAATATAGAAGGTGTCCTTCCCCATGTCAGGGGGTTTGGAACTAGATGATCTTTAAGGTTCCTTCCAACCCAAACTGTTGTATGATCCTATGATGATTTCTGTTGGAAGAAGAGAAGTTGTGATACTGGAAAGCCACTTCCATACTGGTAGTTGAGATACTGGAAAGTCAAACCCCAGTTGTGATACTGGGGTTACTGGTGGGAGAAGGAGTCACTGGATGGGCTCTTTCTTTATTTCCTTTATAATTTTAGTTTTATGTGGTGCATCTCCTCTTTTTAAAGGAGATGCATCTCCTAATTTTTAAAGACTGTTCTTGTCCATTAAGCATCAATATCCACTGTCCATTTAATGCAGTCAGTTAGAGACAACAAAGGTCAAGAACCCTGCATATGTCCCATGACTATAAATGTGACAGCAAAACCTAGACACAAAATAATATGCAATACTCAGTATTTCCTGCTTTGTGGAGGTTCACCTGGAAGTGCAAACAGGATGGAGCTGTTTGCACATTAGTTTAGGCCTCGCCCCGCTGATTTGTTTCAGCTGAACTGTGCCCAGGCTGTCTCAGCATACCCACAATGTGCCCTGCTGTGAAGGAATACGCTGAGAGCTGCACTTCCCCTCACACCCACGCAGGCATAACAGAAATGTTTACAAAAGGAGGACTGCTCTTAGTAATCACTCCAAAGTTTTCGAGTGTAAATGCCAGCTCAGAGTGGCCCTCTGACTCCTTCACTGTTGTTGAATGCTCAATTAGCCCTTCCCCATGGCTGCCATATGTAAATGAGGGTGGCTTTCTCCTGGGCAGTTCATTTTATTTTTATATTAAGTATTTTTCCTTCTTTGGGAGGGATTCCTTTAGAGAGGAATCCACATGCACTCAAAGCTTTAAGGTTTCTCATCTGTTCTGGGCTTTTTTGTGATGGGAGGATGTGCCATGCCTGCAGAGCATGTGGTGCTTTGGGTGATGGTGCAAAGTCCCTGGTTATCAGGGATCCTCTGGGAGCCCACCAGCCAGAGACAGGGAAGCTGGCCTGTGGTGTAGGAGGCCAAGTAAAACCTCTCACAAATTACCTCACAGCTTCTTCCCCAATAGTAGGTGTTAAACAGTCATCCTACCCCTTCTGGGCCAGAGCAGGGAGGAGGTGAACCTCTTAAGGGCCTCATGTTTGCCTTGGGTCTGCCCTGGAAGTGCTGCTGTGGCAGCTGGCACATCCCTGTGGTGCCCCCAGCACCCTCCTTCCCCCAGGAGGTTTGATGGTGTGTGGGACCAGAAGAGATGGTCTGGTGGGCCTCAGTGGCCGAAGTCAGTGCTCCAGCACCATTGCAAGGACCATCTCCATGTGAAACAGAGGGTACCACATGATCTGCATGTCCACCTCCAGGGGCTGTCTGGGGAAGCTCTGGGCTCTGCCTCGTGGCATTTTTCACTGTGAATTGGGCAATGCTGCTGAGCAGTGATGTTTGCCCTGTGGGCTTACAGGTCACCTTTGACTTGGCAGGGTGACAGTGTTTCACCTCTCTTCTCTCACATCCCTGCAAACCTTGACCACCATCAGGCAGCAAGGGCTGGCTTTAGGGCATTTGCTCTGGGATCTGGTGAAACTTGTATTTTCACTTTCTGCTTTCCTAACGGGTCACAGATGCCTTGAACCAGTCATCAGCAGGGCAATATTTCCCACCCTGCCTCGACCATGACCTCAGCCATGCCTTGGTGTGGAGGAATCACAGTAACCCTCTGCCCTGACATACTGTGACCTCCTCCTCAGTCACTGAGCTCTGATGAATCATCTAATGTTCAATTTGGTTAAAGATTTTCCTCTTCATTATTTCCTCTTCCCTGGGAAGACTGATGTATTTGAGGTAGATGTTGAAAGAATATGTGGTTATGTTTTTGGGGTCAAGTAATCGTCCATCCAGCCCTATATCCTGCTTCTGACAATGCAGTATGAGATACTGTTTTGAAATAACACATGAGCCTTTGAAAGACCACTTTTTGCTATTTATCATTCCTGTGCCCACACAGACATTCACAGTTGCTAGATTAAGGGTGTTAAGTATAAAACCAAGTCTGGCATGGGTGTTCAAAGTGATGAGAGTGCCAGGGATGCTCAAGAAGTTCTTGTGCCATGAGGATTACACTGTCAGGAGTGGCATGAGCCTCCAGAAAGGTGCCTCTTTTTCTGAGCTTTCCACCATCTTAGACCAAAATGATGTAAAAACATCCTGTACTATGACTTTTTTTGCAGCCTTTACCTGCTGTGTTATTTCCTCCTAGCACTGAAGCTGACCTAACCCCAAAACTTTAGGGGCCCTGTTTTCGATTCAGAAGCAGAGATTGAAAAGGTCTTGGAGTTTGAAGGATCTTGGATTTGAGATTGTGCTCTAACACACCATTAATTTTAAGATTGTTTTTCCAGCAAGCCTAGGCTTTCTGTGGCCATTCAAAGATCATTTACCATTGACTGTATGGTGAATTATCGTAGTGGAATGAGGCAGAGAAATATGTCAATATCAGCTGTAACAATGAGCAGTCAGTCAGATTTGAACCTGTGCCAATCTATACAACCCTGGTCTTGAAATTGTTAAAACAAAGAAGTTCATTACATTTAATGATCAAGTGTCCTTTGGATTTCTGAGAAGTTTATGTTAACCATTTAAATTACTCAGTTCTAATATAAATGGCAAACTCCAGGAAAATCCTCTTAAAATTAAATTGGAAGGTGGGTTTTTTTACATGTATATATCTATACAGTTATTTTGCTTCAAGGAAGTATCTGCTTTCCAGACATTTCTTCAAACAAATCATGTCTGAAGAGAAATAATAAACAAGAAGTAGCTGAAGCTACAAGGTTTTGCTGTGTGGAAGAGTAGGGAAAGGAGTTAAAAAAAGAAAAAAAAAGTTGAATTTCCTGAAAAAAAGCCTTTGCTTATGCCATGTGGCTGTCACATTGCTGTCTGCAAAGGAATACTTTAGCACAGTGTTCTGATAGAGCAAGTTCTCCAAATCAAGTATACTTGATGAGCTTCCCTGAAAATAGTGGGCAGGATTTGAAGGGATGTGTTACAATTTCTGTGAGCTAGTCCAGAGATAGTCTTCTGTTTATTATGCAGTGCCCCAAACAAACTTTGGGGCTGAAAGTGCTTTAGTTTTGTCAATGTAAGGAAATAAAAAGCATAATTTATGAGGTATTCAACAGTATCTTTATCATCACATATTAACTGAGAGTGAATGGTTTATGAATCCAAACATCAGTGAGTAAAACTAGGTCTCCTTCTACCAGTGCTTCAGCAAAAATTGATCTGTGTTTATCCTAAAGATAATTTCCTCCATAGTGAGCTGTTGCAAATATATCAGCAGGTATCATTATCTTCCAATAGTTATCCCAAACCATTTGGTTTCATATTTTGTAATTGAGGGTACTGTAAGTAATTGGGCCAGCATCCAAATGTGACATTTTTTTGACGGATGCTGTAAGATTTATGACATTTTTCAGCTTGGCTAGTATTTTCAGCACTGAAAACACTATTGTGTGATGTTTGAACTGGATAACAGCTTGACAGGCGTGCCAAGTGCTGACTGTAGAGTCTGCCCACCTCTGAAGGAAACGGCCTTCGGTTGTGCCAGGGGAGATTTAGATTGGATCTTATGAAAATTTTCTTCACTCAAAGGTTGCTCAGGCTTTGGAACAGGCTGCCCAGGAAAGTGGTGGAGTCACCATCCCTGGAAGTGGTTGAAAAACTTGTAGCTGTGATACTTAGGGACATGGTTTAGCAGTGGACCTGGCAGTGCTGGACTCATTCGTCTTAGAGGTCTTTTCCAGCTGTAATGACTCCATGATTCCATGAAGTCCACTTCCCAAGATCAGACCTGGGGCTCATTCTTGTTGTCTGCTTTGTTTCTGATTCCTGGAGGATTGGCAACTCTTAGTATGATATGTTGGAAGAGAGACACCAGGAATTTGCATCCCAGCTTCCAGACCTCTGGTCTGTTCATTTCCCACAGAAATTGTTCTGGAGAGGGAAAAGCACAGACCAGGACTTGAAAGGGCTGAGTGTTGAGGAGCAAGTTGTGTTTCATCATGTTCTCACTCTTGGTAGTACTGATGTGTGTATGTTCAGTAATCCCACTTCTTTCAATTAGGCTGTTGATATCCTAAAATTTTTCTTCCTTTAAAAAAAAAAATCTCTCTTTTTTTTTTTTTGTTTGTTTTTATTTTCCCCCTAGACCCCAGGCAGGCGCAGTCATCCCCGCCATGGTCCTATGACCAGTCTTACCCATCCTACTTGAGCCAGATGACTTCACCGTCCATTCACTCCACAACTCCCCTGTCCTCCACTCGAGGCACGGGACTTCCAGCCATTACCGATGTGCCCAGACGCCTCTCAGGTAAAGACTCTCTTTTGCCTAAAACAATTATGCAGAGAGGAACAGGACTGGCAGAGGCTGCCTCCGTGGCCTCAGACAAACCTTGGCAAGGAGAGCAAACCTCAGCAGTGGTTCCAGGGTTCCTGCATGACAGGCAGGACTCAAAATCCCTTTTTTTTCTGATATGGAAGAGCTGTTATGTTGCTCTGAGCATGTCTTTCTCAAATAACTTTAGGTCCATTTCGGATTAGATTATTTTTAAATTGTGAACCCGATTCTTTGAACAAATTCTCTCTCTTTTTTTTTTTTTTTTTTTAAATTTCCCCTACAAAAGGATGTTCACTTGCATGTAATTAGGTACTGGCACAGGTTTCCCAGAAAAGCTGTGGCTGCCCCATCCCTGGAAGTATACAAGGCCAGGTTGGATGGGGCTTGGAGCAAATTGGTCTAGTAGAAGGTGTCCCTGCATATGGCAGGGGGGTTGGAACAAGATGATTTTAAGATCCCCTCCAACCCAAACCATTCCGTGATTCTATGTTTTAAAGCAGATGTTATGCTGTCTATTTTTTGGTGCTTTATCTTTGTGGTATAAGTGTTGTTAGGCATCCTGACAGATAGATGCCTTTATTTCTTCAGTAGTTATGGCTGAGGTTCACTCTCCTGTATTTCAATCCAGTAGCTCAAGAAAGACTGTTTCCTTAGTTAATATGTACTTAAGAAGCCTATCAGAAACAAGCTGAGTCACTTAAAGGTAAAGATTGGCCAAATTGTGCTTTGGAATGATGCAGGAGAGAGGAAATACATTTAGGAACATAGACGAGACAGAAGTGAGGAACTGAGACTTTTTTTTACCAAACAAATGCACATTTTTGTATTGCACAATTCACCTCCAATGGTCTCAGTGATAAAACCATCTGTGTAAAGTAATCTGATTGCCCCAAAGTAAGAGAGAGCCTGTCATGGCACACAGTCACCTTGTACCTCTTGCCAAAAATGAGGAACCTTAGGGGAGGGAGGCTCAGTCTTAAAACTCCAACCTTGCAAGTGTGGAAATATTAGCAGCGTATGCCAAAAAAGCATGTGTAATGTAAAGAGAGCCTTTATGATTCATTAATGAAAACCAAAGAATCAGTCTTATTACATCTATTTTTTGCATGTTTGCAAGATATTATTATAATCTTGGATGTTGCTGCCATACACCTGTTTGATTCCCAGCCAGGTGAATTTCTTGCTGTTGTGTTTTCCCCTTCCACCAAGCTCATAGCGCTGGAAATGTTGATCCCTCCACTGAGCTGCATCCCTGACAAGCTGAACTGCAGCCAGCAGGCATGGAGGATTTGATTAGCATAGACTCCTTGATTTCTTTCATCTTGGAGGAGGGAAGCTTTGTTTCTCAATCAGCCAGCTGCAAACCCCTCTGCAGCCCTAGTGCACTCTGCCTTCACAGAGATCTCCATGCAGGCCGAGGGCTGGAGGGTTTTGGAGCAGGTTCCTGCGGGCTCTCCATGCAACACCCTGACTTGGGTCAAAAAACTCGATCGGCTTGATGCTGAGGAAATGCTTTGTTTGGCCTGAAACAGGTTCCCTTTGAGTCAGAGCCTCCTGATGCTCTGTGCTGTCGAATGGGTTATTTTTGCAATCGTGCCCGCGGCAATACCTGCAGGAGAGGCTCAGCTGGGACCTGGCAGCTGCACGCCGCATGCTTGCCCTGCAGCCCTTGCTTGTCTGTGTGTATTCAGACGTGAGCGCCTGGCATGTGGGCACAGGCAGGGAGTGACTAAAAAACCTGGCTGTGTTCGTTGTGTGGCCCTGGACTGAACTTTCCTGCCGTGCTCTATGGCCAGTTGCCTTCGCGCTTCTTGTCCTTCATCTTTCCAGGGCTCGAGTGATGCCTCTGCAATGCCCTGACCTTTCCCAGCGTGGAGATCTTGCTTCTAGTTAGATTCCAGAGTGAAAAAGGGGACTTTGATCCTCCACAAGTGCCAGAGGTTGTGTGCAGTGTTTGCTGACAGAAATAGAAATTCAGAATAGAAACGATCTATTCAGAATTAAAGAGAGGCATTCCTGGCTGAAGGACCCACTCAGGTGTTCAGGATGCAAGCAGGCACTTTGCAGCCTCAGCTGCAAACCTGACAGTGCCTCTCAAGGGTTTCACTGGCAGTGCCACAGGGATGGAGGGCAGCATCCAACACCTCCTATATCTAAAGAGAGAGAGAAATGCAAGTTTTAAGTTGCCCCGTACAGCAAGCAGCTTACCACTCACACTCAAAGAAATGTAAATCTCCATTCAGTTACTTAATGCATATTTAGGAAGAGAACAGAACTTTGAAGAGGGTAGAAAATTACTGCAAAGAAACACTAAAATCCTTAGAAAACTTCAGGCGTTTTTAAAGCATGAGGGAGAAATTAGAGTTTTATAAGGCCTTGAATAAAAAAGTCACTTTCCGATACAGTGGCAGAAATCTGATTATCGAGGCTGTTAAAAGTATACAAGGTCATTTTAATGAATGCCATATTTACTGCCTGTTGCTTAACATCATGCAGGAGGAAAAATGAGTAAAACCTCCCCCCTAGCCTAGGCTGTCACACCTACAGGCAAAGAACTTCCTATCTGCCCTAATTTCACACCACTCACCCTTTCCACGAGCCTCCATGGCTTCACCTGGACAACTGCTAAAGTTGTTCTTACCCAGATGTTGAAAATATTCCATCCAATAAAGCAGATGTGGCTTCTGGGTTTGTTGTCAGTGGCAGCCCTCAGGAGCTACTTTTAATCATTTTCCTTCGACCAAAACCACACTCATCCCATGGCCAAAGTGATAATGTTCTTCCCAAATCTTGGGATGGATACATGAGCCAGTAGTGTGCCCAGGTGGACAAGAAGGCCAAACGCACCTGGCCTATATCAGCAGTGGCAGCAGGACCAGGACAGGGACCATCCCCCTGTGCTGGGCACTGGTGAGGTCACACCTTGAATCCTCTGCTCAGTTTCGGGACCCTGATAACAAGAAAGAAATTGAGGGGCTGAAGCGTGTCCAGAGAAGGGAATGGAGCAGGGGAAGACTCTGGAGCACAGGTCTGAGGAGGAGCAGCTGAGGGAGCTGGGAAAGGGGCTCAGCCTGGGGAAGAAGAGGCTCAGAGGGGACCTACTCACTCTCTACAACTCCCTGACAGGAGGGTGCAGACAGGTGAGGGTCAGGCTCTGCTCCCAAGTAGCAAGTGACAGGATGAGAGGAAATGGACCCAAGTTGCACCAGAGGAGGTTTAGATTGGATATTAGGAAAAAATTCTTCACTGAAATGGTGGTAAGGCATTGGAATAGGCTGTCCAAGGCAGTGGTGGAATCACCATCCCTAAAAGTGTTCAAAAGGCCCATGGATGTGGCCCTTAGGTACATGGTTTAATGTTGAACATGGTGATGCTGGGTTTGACACAATGGTGTTTTTTAGCCTTAAGGATTCCATGAATTGTGGTGATGAGGTTGCCTGTGTTTAAACCCCAGATTAGGCTGAGCATCAGAAGAGGTTTGGGGCTGCAGGACAGGATGTGGTGGGGCGCTGCCATAGCAGTGCATGCAGTTGCTCATCCCGTGGGAGAGGAGAAAAGGGCAGCAGGCTGCAACCCCAGGGAGCTCCTCAGGCAGCTGCTGCAATGCAGCTGAACTGGTTGTGTCAGTGTCTCAGAGGGCTTCTTTGCACTACTGGCAGGTTTGCATGCGTGCTGCAGGCACGTGCACGTGTGTGCCCATGGCTGCCAAACTGCAAGTGTTCATCTTCTATATTCTCCAACTGGGGGTCAGTGCTCTGTTTGCACCAACAGCTAATCAATGATATATCCCAGGTATTTGGGCAGTATTCAATAGCATGAGCTGAAAAGCAAAGCCAAAAAAAATGTTATCTGGCATCACTCATGCAACTTTTGAACCAATGATCTTTCTGGTCCAGAAGTTTCACATTAATATCAAGAACAAATAAAGAAACAAGTTCATAAGGCCATGAAATTGCCTTACCTTAATGTTCCAATAATAAAATGAGCAGAATTCCCCATATTTTATTAAAACGTCTGTCTGTTCAGACTTCCTCAGAAGACAGTGAAAGTTGGTGGCCCAGCAGATTAATATTTTTAATTAAATAATATTGTAGTGGAAGCCATGGGAATATAAGAAAAGGGTCATTTTAGAGAGAGTTAGCCTGAGGGATGTAGTCTTATTGCATGATTCATAGTGAATGCACTCAGTCTTTGTGTCCTATGCATAACCAAAGTGCATGTGGGATGGAGAGCATGGGTGACTATTATGTAATTAATGTATATGATTCATATAAATATACACATCACAGCCATTTTACATAACACTTTGGGGCTGATCCAGCAAGTCCTCCCCACATGGAAGGTTCAGAGCAGGGAGTACAGGTCGGGTTGTTCTTGCAGTCAAGAGAGGGCTGCTCCCAGGCAGGGGAAGGAGGGATGGGTATTGATGTCCACAGGGCAGACATCCATTCCTGAGACACTCACCCCCAACTCCCTTTTGAATCAGAGGGGACAAACTGGCATTTTCAGGACTTGGCTGGTCTGCAGGTGATCTCTGCTGGTCCCTGGCAGTGCCTGGGAAGAGCCTGTTTGTCTCTGAAGCGAGCCTAGGTGAGTAGCTCAAGTACAGGCACGTATGATCTGATAGTCTGCCTTTGCTGAGGTGATTTAAGAGACAGTTTAACTGTCCTGTAAACATATCCATATCACAGCCTAATTACACTCTAGTCCTGATTTAACCCTACCTCACCCTGACCTCGACCTTCTCCACTGTTTAAGGGTATGAGCTGGATTTTAATTTTTTGGAGAATTGTGAGAACGGGAAGGTGAAGAGACTTCTTCTTCCCCTACGCTTTTTCTGGACCTACTCACCCTTCTGTCTTAACATAGAGACTAAAAAAGTCTCTTACTTTTTGCTTCACCATTGAGAGAGACTTGTGGGGTCAAGATCTCCAGATGCTGGAGGACCTGTCCTGCAGGTGTACCACAAACAC